CCCGAGAAGCCAAAAACACCCTCTAAGACCCTCCTTCCGATTGCATCTGCTCATCCTGGGTTCTCACAAAGTGCCATGGCAGACGCACCCTGTAAAATGAGAGACTCAAAGACAGCCTTGAGTGAGTGCACATTAGCTACTTTCCCTAAGTTTTCTTAGCATGTACCTTTAACCTTTGAACTGTGAGCTCAGTTGTGAAAAGTTGGCTCCCCTTGCTTGGACATAGATTTGCAGATATGAGGCTGTCTGGTATGTTTTAGCCAAACTCTACGCATGTAAATATAATAGAAATAAACTTACTTTTTATTTTTTATAGGCGGGGGAGGGGGGCTCTTGCTTTGTTGCCCAGGCTGGCCTCAGACTCCTGGGTTCAAGCCTTGGTCTCCGGAGTAGCTGGGCCTACTGTACATTGTGTTCGCTGTAATCTATACTTGCCATGCCAGATGTGCTCTATTGCTGGTCACACAGAAAGTAAAACCTACTGCTAGGAGAGCATGGTAATTCATACATCAGGATGCCACACAAAATGGCAAAGGTAAATACTGGGAAACCCTAGGTAGACAATCATCTACCAATAGCAGACAGCAAAAAGATACTCCAGGACAGTTTAACAGTGGGAAAGCATTGCAACATTTGTGAAAGATAAAAAAGGATATTTCTGATGTTTAATGTTGCAGTCAGAGCTTGAAAATGTTCCTGAAGTTCCTGAAACAGATTTTCTGCCTGAAAAAATGAAACAAAAGGCAACTGAATATAATATTTACTACTAGCCTAGGGCACTTTAACTATCTTGGAATAGTCTCACCCATACATGTTCCTCTGACTTTTGACAAAGGCGCCAAAGCCTTTTGATTCAGAGGACAAAGGGAAACCTTCCCAACAGGTAGTGCGAGAGCCGCGTGCAAGCCGCGTGCAAGCCGAGTAAGGGAGAGGCCCGGCCTCCCCCACCCCGCACGCACTCGGTGAACGGCAATGATCCTGCACCTGACACACGGGAGATCTCGGTAACTTGGGTTCCTCAAGGACTCTCCGGATGACCGGAAGTCACCGCAGCCTAGCAAAGGTGGGGGTCTCGTGCACTTCTGGGTATCCACTGGCTGGCGTTGGAATTGCAGAAACGTGCACCAGGTGATGGGGATATCGCTGTTACCGGCAGCGGGTCACGTCTGCAGACCGCCCTGCGGTTTCGCAGCTGCGCGCTCGCGCTGCAGAGCCCGGTCTCCCCGCTGCCTGGGTCTACGCGTGAAAACGCGGATTCAAGCCTGCACCGCCTAACACGTCCTTGAAATCCACGTCTCTCCCTCATGACTGGTGTCTCCTGGGTCTGGAACCGGGGCGGGGCGAGCGGGGCGCTGCGCCGGGGCTCCGGCACCCACCCCCGCAGACCCAGGCAGGAGGGTGGGGAGACGGGAGGACGGAGGAAGGAGATGGAGGAGGGGTGGGGAGACCGGGGCATGGAGGAAGCGGGCGGAGGAGGGGCTGGGGGAATGGAGGCACTCACCGCGTCCCGCAGCACGGCCCCGCCGATGATTTCCGGGCCCCGCGCGTCCATGTGGCTC